GCTCTCTCTCTCACACACACACAGAGAGACACACACACACTCTTGATCACTCGCTCTCCTCTCGTCCTGCAGGTGGACACGGTCGCAGCTGACTTCCTGTTGCGTCGTGGCGGAGAAAGGAAGTCTAACGTGAAGACGGTGCGCATGGGTCCGCTGTCGAAGAAGGGCTTCTACCTGGCGTTCCAGGCTCAGGGCGCGTGTATGGCCCTGCTCTCCGTCCGCGTCTTCTTCAAGAAGTGCCCCGCCGCCACCCGTGCCTTCTCCTCCTTCCCCGAGACGCTCCCTCACTCGCTGGTGCAGCAGGCCGAGGGCGTGTGTGTGACAAACTCCGCCCCCACGGGCCAAGCCCCGCCCACCATGTTCTGTGGGGAGGACGGCCAGTGGGTGGGGCCTCCCTCGTCCACCTGTGTGTGTAAACCAGGGTTCGAGCCGGTGGACTCCGACCGCTGCAGGGGTGAGTTTCCTTCAAACATCTGATCAAATGTCTAATTTGCTCGTTTTAATTAATTAATTGATTCAATATGAATCAAACTCATCAGAATCAGAATGATACTATTATAGCTAAAATAGTTTTTTTTTCATATTTTCTGCTTTCATATTAATTTTAAAGGATGAGTGGCAACACTTTACAATAAGGTTCCATTAGTTAATGATAGTTAATGTATTAACTAACATGAATAAACAATGAACAATACATTAATCACAGTATTTATTCATCTTTGTTAATGTATTAGCAGTAGAAGTTCCTGTACTTGCTTGCAGCAGCAATAATCTACAAATACAGCAATAACCAGCAGCAGCAGCGTAGCAGATCTGTTCCTCCGAGACCAAATACATTAACATTGTCCTGTACATCATGCTAAAATCTTCCGAGAGTTCTCGTGATAGAACTAATGTTAACTAATGAACCTTACTGTAAAGTGTTACCGGGTTAGTAATCATTCTGTGTTTGTGCCATTTTTGTCGGTTTTTGTTGTTTTTAAATATGCATGTATAGTTTTTATTAATTTGCATTTCAGATTTAGTTGTTTTAGTACATCATAATAATTTTTAGTTATTTTAAACTCGACAAACAGGAGAAATGTTGACTTTGAAACTAGCTGAAATAAAATAAGTTTAAGTTTTCTATATTTTACGGTTTCATTTAACGTTATTTTATTTTAGGTAGCAGAATTTTTTGTAATGTTTTTAGTAGTTTTAGTAGTTTCTATAATAACCCTGAGCTGCGTGCAGACATTACCTTCACATATACTGTAAAAAAATCCTTAAAAAACTTCCGGTGCTGCCTTAAATTTGTAGGTAATTGACTGTACAAGTCACTTCAACTTAAATTATATTCAACTGAATCTCATATAATTTAACATGTTTAGTTTAACATGTTACCATGACTAATTGGTTATATCATTTTTTACAGTGTAAAGCAATTAATTCTATATAGCAAATCTCAGCTGCTTGACTATTTTGTCTCAAAGCATAACTATAATGCATGATGATATTAAGATATTAGAAACATTAACATCATGATTTTCTGTGTGAGAGAGAGTGTGTGTGTGTGTGTGCGCGCGTGTGTGAGTGTGTGTGTGAGTGTGTGAGTGCGTGTGTGAGTGTGTGTGTGAGTGTGTGAGTGCGTGTGTGAGTGTGTGTGTGAGTGTGTGAGTGCGTGTGTGAGTGTGTGTGTGAGTGTGTGAGTGCGTGTGTGAGTGTGTGTGTGAGTGTGTGAGTGCGTGTGTGAGTGTGTGTGTGAGTGTGTGAGTGCGTGTGTGAGTGTGTGTGTGAGTGTGTGAGTGCGTGTGTGAGTGTGTGTGTGAGTGTGTGAGTGCGTGTGTGAGTGTGTGTGTGAGTGTGTGAGTGCGTGTGTGAGTGTGTGTGTGAGTGTGTGAGTGCGTGTGTGAGTGTGTGTGTGAGTGTGTGAGTGCGTGTGTGAGTGTGTGTGTGAGTGTGTGAGTGCGTGTGTGAGTGTGTGTGTGAGTGTGTGAGTGCGTGTGTGAGTGTGTGTGTGAGTGTGTGAGTGCGTGTGTGAGTGTGTGTGTGAGTGTGTGAGTGCGTGTGTGAGTGTGTGTGTGAGTGTGTGAGTGCGTGTGTGAGTGTGTGTGTGAGTGTGTGAGTGCGTGTGTGAGTGTGTGTGTGAGTGTGTGTGAGAGAGTGTGTGTGAGTGAGAGAGTGTGTGTGTGTGAGTGTGTGTGCGCGCGCGTGTGTGTGAGTGTGAGTGTGAGTGAGTGTGTGTGTGTGTGTGTGTGAGTGTGTGTGTGTGTGTGTGTGTGTGAACGTGAACAGCGTTGTATAAATAAATTTGACTTGATTTGTATTTGTTGGGGTTTCCAGGAGCTTTAACTCTGTTCGTGCATGCATATATACACAAGAGAATTTAAATAAGAAATACAATTTGAATAGATTTAAATGTATTTTTTGTTCTTTCTATTCTCTGGTGTTTCGATGCATGCATGTGCTCCATGAGCTCTCGGTTGATTGTACTGACCCGAAGTGCTTTAAAGCAGAAGATGGTTTCACGGATCACGTTCAGGTGTTAATTGTGCCTGTGTCCCGTTCTAAACGAGTGTGTTAATGAGCCGTGTGTCCTGCAGTCTCTCCGTCAGCGCTCTGTTTCTCGTTCTGTCCTGATGAGAAGAGCAAGCTGTGTTCAATCTGAAGCAGCTGTGTTTATACTCCATGCTCTCTCTCTCTCACTGTGTGTGTGTGTGTGTGTGATGTTTTAATAGAGCTTGATGAAATGCTCTTTTAATGAGCAGGAATTGGTCTGTGGGGTGTGGCTGAGGATTATGGGTAATGCAATCCGTCTCTCTCTCCTGCGTTCCTCTTTCTTCTTCTCTCCAGAGGAACATGTTCTTCTGCTGTGGTTTTTTTCAGTGTAATTAGACAGAGAATCACGCTGATCGGTATTTCAGTGCTGTCATTAATTGATTCTTTATTACAGGCTCTGCTGATAGGTCAAGTCATTTAGGTTTGGTTAATTACCCGACTATCTGTTGAGGAATGAGAAACACACAAATGCATGTGTGAGCATCAAAACAACTCCATGTAAACAAACCGGACAGCACTGCTCATTTATCCATCATTTATGAAGTATTCCACAGTAGATTAACTTTTGTCACATTTAACTCCCTTCTGCAGACCTCAGACTTTAACTAAACACACACACTCACACACACACTCACACAAACAACACACACACACAATCTCGCACACACACACACACACACTTTCTCACACGCACGCACGCACACATACAACACACACACTCTCTCACACACGCACACACACACACACTCTCTCACACACACACACGCACTCTCTCACACACACGCACTCTCTCTCGCACACACACACACACTCTCGCACACATACACACACACACACACACACACAAAGAGACTGCAGCAGGTGGCTGAATTTGTTTGTACTAATTACGCTTTGTATTGGCCTTCTCTTTGTGTGTGTGTGTGCGCGCGCGTGTGTGTGTGTGTGCAGGCGTGCATGTGTGTCTGTGTGTGTGTGTGTGTGCAGGCGTGCATGTGTGTCTGTGTGTGTGGGTGTGTGTGTGTATGTGTGCGAGAGTGTGTGTGTGTGTGCGAGAGAGAGTGCGTGTGTGTGAGAGAGTGCGTGTGTGTGTGTGAGAGAGTGTGTGTGTGTGCGTGTGTGAGAGAGTGTGTGTGTATGTGTGCACGCGTGCGTGTGTGTCTGGGGGTGTGGGTGTGAGACGCCCCGTCTGACTCTATTATTTGAGTACAACAGGCGGGTCATTGAGGGCCTGAGACCAGATTGAGTGTGTTTAACCAACACCACCCCCAAACACAAACACACACAGTCTGGTTTGCTATCCTTGTGGAGACTCTCTATTGGCATAATGCTTTTTATACTGTACAAACTATATTCTATCGCCCTACACCGACCCTACACCTAAATCTACCCCTCACAGAAAACCTTCTGCATTTTGACTTTCTCAAAAAAACTCACTCTGTATAATTTATAAGCTTCTGAATCCATGTAGACCTCAATTTAGGGCCCCACCAGTGTAGAAAAACATGTACACACACACTTACACACACTCTCTCAGATACACACACACACACACACACACACTCTCACACATACACACACACACACACACACTCACACCTGTTTTGTGTGTAAGCTGGGATCAGTGTTAATTTAGTAATATTTATTAGGGCTGAGTAAAAAATATAGATATCTCAATATTAATTGATTCTCATTTTTATGGAACGATATCGATTCTTAAATCCTGAGAATTGATTATTCTAGCCTGTGTTGGAGGGCGCCTCCCATCCAATATATCACAATAAGCATTGTGCTTTGGTGCTTTTAATATGAAACACCGTCTCAGATTTCAAATTCTGTCCATTGTATTGCAGTATTTAAACAATAAATGCTGTTTTGGCGCTGTTTAATGTGGAGTGACAGCTCGCTGTAGCGCCTCAGTTCAACAGAAGTGAACTGATCATCTCCTCCACATTATTACTAGTTATAGCACAAAATAAACATGACTAAACATCTGAAGGTAAGTTAAAAGAAAGAGTATAACTTTACAATCCGTATCCTGTCTCTTGTAATCGCTCGATCAGTGTTTCAGCCTCGCAAAGACGTCAATATAACGGCTTGTAAACAATGTCACGTCACATTTACCTCAGAAAAACATATTCGGTGACCATAAACTCATTAGTCAGTAAACTTATGCCCTTTTCATTCCTTCCGGTATGAGAGGACGCTGTTCACGTAACAGTCGTTTTCACTCGGATTGGATTTGCTGGACTATGGGAACCTAAACTCTCGAACGTCAATATGATAAGGTACTCATTTTCTGAACTTCTTTCATTCGATCATTATTTGCCTCCCAGTGACTGTACACAAGATGCTCTGCGAGCACTTCAACTGTTGCGACGGCCAAGATATTCGCATCGTGGCTCACGCCGGGGTTTATATGCCTCGCCGGCTGGTATAAATGTGCTCTGTTCCTTTTCTCGGGACTCTGGACATTTAAACTCTCGTGGTATCTGCACGCCTAATTTATCTTACCCACAAATGTTTATAGGGAATAAGTGCAATAAGATTGTAACATCTAAAATCAGACTTGCACAATTAAATGTGCGGTCCATGAATAAGAAAGCGGCATTGCTTCATGATATCATCCTCGATCGGAAACTTTACATTTTTTGTCTTTGCGAGACATGGCATCACCCAAATGACTGTTACAATCTTAATTTGGCTTCGCCACCTGCATATACATAAACTGATAGACCTCGCCTCACTGGTAAAGGTGGTGGTCTTGCAATTTTATATAAATCTGATTTGTCTGCTTCTGTAATTAGCACACCTGTTATGTCTTCATTTGAGTGTCTGGTGATGAAAATTAATGGCAATGCTCCTGTACTTTTCATACTTATTTATCGTCCTCCCAAGATCAATTCTGGGGTTTTCTCTGAACTTGCGGAACTGCTAACGTTGTTGAGTTCGAATGGCTCAGATATGCTGCTCATAGGGGACATAAATATACATGTTGTTAATCCTGAATGTTCTCAAACAGCTAGCTTTATGGATGTATTGGACTGTTTTAATTTCACTCAGCATGTTGACTTCCCTACGCATAAATCTGGCCACACACTGGATTTAGTTTGTACTACGGGTTCTGACATTGATCAACTTATATCAAGAACATTGATCCCCAGTTGCTTTTTAGCCTGATTGCTGAGCTACCTGTGACTGATTCTGTGAACTGTTACAACTCTGCACTATCTTCTATTCTTGATATTGTGGCACCTTTAAAAGAACGAGTTGTTTCTTTCACTAGGTCCTCCTCTTGGTACACTAAGGAAATGCGGGCTCTCAGAGTGGAGGGAAGGAAGATTGAGCGCTTATATAAAAAATCTGGTCTTACTGTCCATAGGTTGATGTTTGATGAGCAGC